TGGGGCTTGAACTCTGGACCTGGGTGCTACCTCTGAGCTCTTCAGTTCAAGCTAGCACTCTACACTTCCAGTTTTCTGGTGGTTAACTGGAGCTAAGATTCTCATGGACTTTGCTGCCTGGCTGGCTCTGAACCATAATCCTCAGAACTCAGACTGAATAGGTCGGATTACAGGTATGAGTCACTGGCAACTGGCTGGTAATGCTTTTGAGAGATCTACTATATAGTATTTTATTCCTTGAGATCTGTTCTCACTGTTGGCCAGGCTGTCCTTGAATTCCTGGGCTCAAAGAATCCTCTGGTCTCAGCTACCAGAGTAACTGGGAATATGTATATAAAGGTAGCTGGCTGGGAATTTCCTACAGTTTAAAAAATATATGGGGGGGCTGGGGAGGTGGCTCAGTGGTAGAGCGCTTGCCTTGCATGCATGAGGCCCTGAGTTCGATTCCTCAGCACCACATAAGCAGAAAAAAAAGCCGGAAGTGGCGCTGTGGCTCAAGTGGTAGACCGCTAGCCTTGAGCTGAAGAGCTGTAGGACAGTACCCAGGCCCCACAACCGGACCCCCCCAAAAAATACTTCTAAAAAATATATGGGGTTGGAGGGGTGGCTCAGGTGGTAGAGCACCAGTTAATGAATGAAAGTAAACCTTAGATTACAGAGTTCTGGTCTCAGAAAATAAAAAGCCAAGCTCTAGTGACATCTGTAATCCTAGCTACTCAGGAGGTTGAGATCTGAGGATCTCAGTTCTAAGCCAGTCCGGGCAGGAAAGTCCCTGAGACTCTTATCTCTAATTAACCATCAGAAAGCCGGAGGTGGTGCTGTGGCTCAAATGGTAGAGCATTCCCCTTAAGCAGAAGAGCACAAAGACAGTGCTTAGACCTAGAATTTAAGCCTCATGAATGACTGAAAAAATCCTTATAAGGGGGCTGGGAAGGTGGCTCACTGGTAGAATGCTTGCCTTGCATGCATGAGGCCCTGGGTTCAATTCCTCAGTACCACATAAGCAGAAAAAGCCACAAGTAGCGCTGTGGCTCAAGTGGTAGAGCGCTAGCCTTGAACTGAAGAGCTGAGGGACAATGCCCAGGCCCAAAGTTCAGGCCCATGACCAACAACAAAAAAAAAACCTTATGGGGTTGTAGGCATGGGTCAGTGGTAGAGAGTCAGCCAATTTGTGAAATTAGGTAACAAGTTTGAGTCCTGGTCTTGACAAAAAAAAATATTCAACTCCATAGTAATGGTGCTTAGTCTTAGTAATTCCAACAGAAATGGCTAAATAAAAGTCATGAATTTGTTGAATAAAATACAAACATGTTGCTTTATTTAAACTAACCATATGCCTATTGTTTTGAAAATAGGGCAATACCAAAGGATATATGGTTTTAAAAATATCCAATAGAGAGCTGGGAAGGTGGCTCAGTGGTAAAGTGCTTGTTTGCATGCATAAAGCCCTGGGTTCGATTCCTCAGCACCACATAAGCAGAAAAAGCTGGAAGTAGAGCTGTGGCTAAAGTAGTAGAACACTAGCCTTGACTGAAGAGCTGAGGGACAGTGTCCAGGCCCAGAGTTCAGGCCCCACGACCGAATGAATGAATGAATGAATGAATGAATGAATGAATAAATAAATAAATAAATAAATAAATCCATAGCCAATAGAAGTTGGATAGAGGATTGATGAGAAGTGAGGTTGATCAGAATACATTGTACACATATGGAAATTATAGACCTTTCCTGTGTACAGCTAATGGATGGTAATAAAAATAAACAAATAGCCTGGTGCCCGTGGCTCAAGCCTATAATTCTAGCTACTCAGGAGGTTGAGATCTGAGGATGGCGGTTCAAAGCCAGCCCAGGCAAGAAAGTCCGTGAGAGTCTTATCTCCAATAAACCACTTGAAAACCAGAAGTGGTGCTGTGGCTCAGTTATAGAGTGTTTGCATTGAGCTGAAGAACTCAGGGACAACGCTCAGGCCCAGAGTTCAAGTCCCACAATTGACACAAAAAAGCAAATAACTTCCCCCTAAATATGATAGTTAAAGAATATATTACTAGGGCTGGGAAGGTGGCTCAGTGGTAGAGCGCTTTCCTTGCATGCCTGAGGCCCTGGGTTCGATTCCTCAGCACCACATAAGCATAAAGAAAAAAGCCGGAAGTGGTCTGTGGCTCAAGTGGTAGAGCGCTAGCCTTGAGCTGAAGAGCTGAGGGACAGTGCCCAGGCCCAGAGTTCAGGCCCCACGACCGGACCAAAAAAATAAAAAAAAAAGAAAAAGGAAAAAAAAAGAATATATTACTATATAATACTCCTCCTTTCACTGCTTAAGAATATGCTGAGCATCAGTGGCTCATGCCTGCAATCCTAGCTACTCAGGAGGTTTATAACTGAGGATTATGGTTTAAAGTCAGTTGGGCAAGAAATCCACAAGACTCTTATCTCCCAATTAACCACCAAAAAGCTGGAAGTGGTGCGGTGGCTCAAGTGGTAGAATGCTAGCTTTGTGCACAAGTGTTCAGGGACAGCGCCCAGGCCTTTAGTTCAATACGCAGGACTACACAAAAAAATCATAAAATAATCTGGACTCAAGGTACAGTTCAGTGGTAAAGCAGTTGCCTAACATAAAAAGCTCTGGGTTCAATCATCAGCACCAAACAAAGGAAAAAAGATTCTGCTCCTACCTTATCCTTCTTATCCTGCCGAGCATATGGAAAGCATGGGATGACTGCAGTAACTCGGCTGGCTGAAGCAATCTTGCAGGCATTAATCATGATCAAAAGCTCCATTAGATTGTCATTAATTTCACCACAACCACTCTGAACAATGTAGACATCTTCTCCACGTACACTTTCACCAATTTCCACACTAAAATAAACAAAGACAGCATAAGAAAATATTTTTTTGAGAACTATATTGTAAAGAAAGTCTAAAAACCATAGCTTCTCTACAAGTATGTTGTGGATGGGCCCCTCATGCTTTATGAGTTCTTCTGAGGGAGTGCCTATACCAGAAGCAGCTTACAAACTCTATACACGTGACATGGCATGAAAAAGGTTGGCTGACTTTACTCTGAAGTATACAAATAATTGGACCATAATTTCAGGAAGTGACCATATGTTAACAACACACATCTGATACATCACCTGAGACTGTTACATAATTCATATATTGTGAAAGTAGGAATACAATAAGTAATGAATCACCAGTTATAAACTTCATAGGAAGTTAGGCTAATTACAGAGTAGGGCTATAATTTACCATATAATGAAAAGTTTCAATACCCATACTTGGGTCTGGTACATAGAAAAACTTGGAATCTAAATAAAAATCATTAGCAATGTAGCTCAATGGCAGAGTACTTGCCTAGCAAATGCAAGCCCTATGTTCAATCCTTAACACAAAAAGGGGAGTAGGGGCTGGATTTTTTTTTTTGGGTCCGGTCATGGGGCCTGAACTCTGAGCCTGGGCGCTGTCCCTCAGCTCTTCAGCTCAAGGCTAGCACTCTACCACTTGAGCCACAGCGCCACTTCCGGCTTTTTTCTTTTTGCTTATGTGGTGCTGAGGAATCGAACCCAGGGTCTCAGGCATGCAAGGCAAGTGCTCTACCACTGAGCCACCTTCCCAGCCCCTAGGGGCTGGATTTTTAAAGAAATTACCACAGTAATATCACACAGCAGCACCATTTTCCCAATAAATCCTGTAGGTGTGGCAGGGAGTAGGGGGAACGAGGTCTATAGCAAAGCAATAGAGCAGAATGGTCAAAAATTCTTACTAAACAACAGAAAAACTTACTCTAAAAAAAGGCAACAGTTATTAAAAGATCTATTCTTGTCTCACTCTTGCATGGCTTCAGAAACTACTCAGTAGGCTGGGAATGTGGCTTAGTGGTAGACTGCTTGCTTGGCATGCATGAAGCCCTAGGTTCAACTCCTCAGTGCCACAAAAACAGAAAAAGCCACAAGTCGCACTGTGGCTCAAGTGGTACAGTGCCCAAGTCTTGAGTTCAAGCCTCAGGACTGGAAAAAAGAAAACTACTCACTATATATGCTTTATCAAGATCACTGTTACCCTACACCTCTCCCAAACAAAGAGCAACCTCTGGTAAAATCAGCAGAAGTAAGGTAGGCATATAACTTGGCTACAAAACACTTGCCTAACACGTATTAAGGAGGTAGGCCTTGGGATCTATCCCCAGCACCATGCAAAAACAAAATAAATAGGGAAAAAAATAAAATCAGAAAACAATTAAAACAGAAAATGAGGTTCCTGGCAAGAAAAGAAAACCTATTTGTTTAAGGTACCTAAGGATAAACCTTCCTTAGTCATCGAATGCAGAAAAATATTTTATCTTATGGTCCTTATACATGATGTGAATTATTCACTCAAGTCACTAAGTTCTTGCCAAGTGGTGGCGCATGGTCCAGTAATCCCAGCACTTGGGAGCCTGAAGCAGGAAGATGGCAAGTTTGGGGCTATACAGGAGGACTCTGTCTCAAACAAAAAGAAAAAAAGTCAGCCAGATGCTAGTGGCTCATACCTATAATCCTAGGTACTCAGGAGGGGAAGATCTAAGAATCATGGTCTAAAGCCAGCCTGGGCAGGAAAGTCTATGACACACTAATCTTCAATTAACAACAAAAAATAAAAAGCCGAAAGTGGAACTATGGCTCAAATGGTAGAGTACCAGTTTTGAGCAAAAAATCTCGGGGACAGTTCCCAGACTCTGAGTTCAAGCCCCAGGATGGGCACAAAGAGAGAGACAGAGAGAGAGTTAGAGACAGAGATAGAAACAGAGAGAGACAGAAACAGAGGGGGGGAGAGGGAGGGAGGGAAGGAGGGAGGAGGAGAGGGAGAATCTAAGTACTTGCCTTGATCACTAGAAAAATAACAAAGTAAGCAAGCAAAAGAAAAAAATAACCATAGAACTCAAATAAATAAAACTGAAACAGGAAAACAGAAAAAAAATCAATGAAACAAAAAGCCAGCTCATGGAGGGGTTGCTATACCTGGAAGAGTAAGTGACAGCTTTAGTAGAGAGCTCTGTGGCCAGGCGCCAGTGGCTCACGCCTGTAATCCTAGCTACTCAGGAGGCTGAGATCTGAGGATCGCGGTTCAAAGCCAGCCCAGGCAGGAGAGACCTTGAGACTCCTATCTCCAATAAAACCACCAGAAAACCGGAAGTGGCGCTGTGGCTCAAGTGGTAGAGCGCTCACCTTGAGCTGAAGAGCTGAGGGACAGCACCCAGGCCGAGTTCAAGCCCCACAACCACCAAAAAAAAAAGAGAGTTCTGTGAAGAACCAATGCTAACTCTCTATAATCTTTTCCAGAGAACAGTAGAGGAACATTTCCAACACATTTTAAGAGCTACTACTCAAGGACACTAAAATAAGACAAATATAAAAGAAAATCACAGTGGTAGGAGAAGAGGTGGGTGTGGCTACCACATGGAACAGGATATATCTATTCAGGGACAGGGCCATTTTGTACTATTAATTATTACCAATGTAAATATGCTGGTTGCATTATACCAGTTTTACCATGAAATGATAAAATAGGAAAACTTTACAATGGGAAGTTTGGGCAAACAATACTAAACTGTTCTTGCTCTGTATTATTTCTTATAACTACATGTAAATCTATGGTTATCTCAATAAACACCTCTTTTGTGGCAGAGGCTTGAACTCAGTACCTGAGTGCTGTCCCTAAGCTTCTTTTCACTCACGGCTAGGGCTTTACCACTTGAGCCACAGCTCTTCTTCAGGTTTTTCTTTTAGTAATTTATTGGACATAAAGCTGGGGTGGCGGTGGCTCATGCCTGTAATCCTAGCTACAAAGGAAACTGAGATCTGAGGATCACGGTTCAAAGCCAGCACGGGCAGGAAAGTTCATTAAGACTCTTATCTCCAATTAACCACCAGAAAACTGGAAGTGGCACTGTGGCTCAAGTGGTAGAGTGCTAGCCTTGAGGAAAGAGGCGAAAACTTTACTGACTGGGAATGTGGCTCAAGGGTGGAGTGCAAACCTCAAATGCATGAAGCCCTGAGTTCGATTCCTTAGTACCACATAAACAGAAAAAGTTGGAAGTGGCTAGAGTGGTAGAGTGCTTGCTTTGCATGCATGAGGCCCTGGGTTCGATTCCTCAGCACCACAAAAGCAGAAAAAGCCTAAGTGGTGCTGTGGCTCAAGTGGTAGAGCACTAACCTTGAGCTGGAAGAGCTGAGTGACAGCACCCAAGCCAAGAGTTCAAGCCCCATGACTCCCCCCAAAAAAGAAATTGTCAATATTGAGAATAGACAAAATTTTACTATGTCTAAATAATTTTAAATCAAATTAGGATCTCATACTAGCAAAAATTTTAAAGAGCCATAACTCTAATCATAAAATAATATTTCTCAAAATGATCTCCAGGAAATAGGGGAAAAATAAGACCTAGAACAAAATTTCTAGACAGACAAGCTAACTTCTGAATTTTAGTTCCATTCTCTTGCATTTCACATGGGGCTTGGATGGCTCATGTTTGTAATCGTAGCTATTCAAGAAGCTGAGATCTCTGGATCAAAGTTCAAAGCATGTGAGATTCTTATCTCCAATTAATTACCAAAAAAGGAAGAGGTAGAGCTCTGGTTCAAATGGTAGAGTTCAAACACTGAATTTGAACAAAAGATCTCATTATCTAAAATTATGATGTAATTGGAGGTGTGATTCAAGCTCTACAGTGCTTGCCCAGATAGTATACCATGTGCAAGGGTCTGAACACCACCAATAAATAAAATTATGACCTAACCTCAGTGGCTCATGCCTGTAAATAATAGCTACTTAAGAGGCTGAGACCTGGAACATCCATGTTTGAAGCCAGCCTGGGCAGAAAAGTTTATCAGACTACATCTCCAATTAACCAGCTGGAGTTGTGGCTAAAATAGCAGAATGCCAGCTATGGAGCAAAACAGCACAGCAAAAGCACAGGGGGCTGGAGTTCAATCCCTGGTACCAGCAAAAAACTTAACAGTCCCCAATAGTCTCTCCAATAAACTACAGAATCAAAAAGCTTGAAGTGGAGCTATGGCTCAGTTGGTGGAGTGGTTGCCTTGAGCAAAAGCTCAAGCAGAGCCTAGGCCCTGATTACACCCCAGGACCTGGCCAAAACAAAATCAATAACAAAACAAAAAGAGAACTCTTTATACATTTTACATTTTCTACAATATTTAAACATAAATATAAACATCTGGGAGGTCTATAATCCTAGCTACTCAGGAAGTTGAGATCTGAGGATTGCAGTTCAAAGCCAACCTGAGCAGGAAAGTCTGTGACTCTTACCTCCAATCAACTACCTTAAACCAGAAGTTGTGCTGAGGCTCAGTAGTAGAGCACTAGCCTTGAGCTGAAGAGCTCAGGTATAGCATTCAGGCCCTGAGTTCAAGCTCCATAACCAAAAAAATAAAAACAAAACAAAACAAAACACCAACAAAACAAAAAACATAAATCTCTGGGGGGTCATAAACCAAAAGATGAGCCGGGTCTGGTGGCTCATGCCTGTAATTCTAGCTATTCAGGAGGCTGAGATCTGAAGATCACAACTCAAAGGAAATCCACGTAGTAAGTCCGTGGAACTCTTTTTAAATAATTTATTGTAAAGGTGATGAACAGAGGTGTTACAGTTACATAAGTAAGGTAATGAGTTCACTTTTTAAACAATGTTACCCTCTCCCTTATTTTCTCCCACTTACCACTCCCCCCTCCCCCCAGACTATAAAGTTCATTTTCAACTTAGTATCTAGTGAGTATCATTGTTGCATTAGTTCATCCCTTGTCCTCCTGTTTCTGTGATTCCCTTTCCCTTCCATGAATCAGATAAGCCTATATACAAGAGAAAGGATACAGAAAACTAAAACAGAAAGAAAAAATACAAATAATTGCATAGAGGACATAGTAAGAACCTATTCCCCTCTTGGAGTTCATGTTGATATGCTTCATTATATATGGTCCTACGCACTTAGAATTGGGCTATTGTGATCCCCTGATAAGAATAGACACATTCTAGTTATTACAAATGAGGGAAACCATGCAACCTATATTTCTTTTTATCTCCAATAAACTACTCAGAAAAACCTGAAGTGGCACTGTGGCTCAAGGGGTAGAGCTCTACCCTTGAACAAAAAGAAGCTCTCAGGGCTGGGATGTAGCTCAGTGGCAAAGCGCTTGCCTAGCAAGTGCAACGTCCTGGGTTCGATCCCCAGTACCAAAAAAGAAAAGACAAAAAAAAAATACAGTTAAAAAAAGAAGAAGCTCTCAGACAGTGCTCAGGCCAAGTTCAAACCCCAGAACCAAAAAATAAAAAATATTAAAGTGAACAATCTATCTTGGGTAGTGGAATTAGAAGGGTGATTATTTTACCCCCAGTAGTGGGCCTTGAACTCTGGGCCTGGGTCCTGTCCCTCACCTCTTCAGCACAAGACAAGCGTTCTACCACTTGAACCACAGTGCCACTTCTGTTTATGGGCAGTTTATTGGCGATAAGATTCTCATGGACTTTCCTGCCCAGGCTGGCTTTGAACCATGATCCTCAGATCTCAGCTTCTTAAGTAGCTAGGATTATAGGTGTGAAACACCACCCTTTAAGTCTGATTTTTCCCCCATATTTTCCATAATACCATTACCACTCCTACCCCTCCTGGCTAGCACTAATTGTTGTACTTAATTATGTATTAAGCAGTGTTCTAGGAAAGTTACTACTATCTCATTCAATTCTCATGATAACTATAGATAGGTAGATTTTAGGTGGATACAGCTTTATAGATGAGATTATCACAGTATAAAAAACGTTTTTTAAAAAGGGGGCTAGGAAGGTGGCTCAGTGGTAGAGCGCTTGCCTTGCATGCCTGAGGCCCTGGGTTCCATTCCTCAGCACCACATAAGCAAAAAGAAAAAAGCCAGAAGT